GTTGCTTATTACAGATTCAGACTAACACGGCTACCCCTCTGATACTTCTGTAATGTTCAGATCCTGCGGTGAGCTCAGTGAGGGTGGACCTCTGTGCTCAGATGGAGTCCCATTTCATGTAAAAATAGGAGCTAATGACATATCTATTTAGTGTAATATTTCTGTCTTGGTTAATGTTACCTGCTTTATAGGACTGATTGAGATGACCCTTGACTGTCCTACCTTTTGCTTAGCTTTGTAGTCTGGAAGTATAACTTTTGAAAGCTTGTCTGAATGATAAATTAGTGGGTGAAAAAGGGTTAGAGTTGTTCTCTGGACTATGTATAGTTCCATAGGCTCAGATGTTTAATACTTTCTCAATATCAGTTTAAAAGCTGGTGCAAACCCATCTAACAAGGTTTCTTGAGCCCAATCTAACTTCCATTAAAGTAAATAAAAAAAATCAGCCACTGACTTAAATGTGCATTGGGGAAGGGGGGGAAACAGGTCCATATTAGCCTACAGCTACTAAAAAAGTAACAGCAAAATGGGAATAAATCAGATTCTAAAATTTGTCCTCAGAAATCTAAGGGCTCTACAGAATACTTTTGACAAATGGTTCTATTCCCCTCTTAATATCTGTGTGATTCTTCTCAATGTTATATATTTTCATGGAGGATACTCTAAATTTGAATAGGAACAATTAGGAATAACTTTCGCAAAGTTATCAACATTTTTGTTTTCGTCCGCATGAAGCTTCTTGGGTAAGAGTTTATCATCGATTTGAGGTTACTGCTTGCTGGGGAGAGCTGACAGCTAAATTTAGACACCCTAAACAGACTTGTATAACTTTTCTTTCTAAATCTGAGGGAAGAATAGTGTTGTGTAAGGTTTTTGTTCTGCCCCCTGGAATTTCACAATAAACCTATTACATCCTACTTCCCCTTTAATTACTAAATAGGCCAGTCCTCTTCAAAGAGCCAAGTACAATGCCTAGCTCAAAGAGCTAATTCTAAGAATCCTAGGGTCTTTTAATTTACAGCTAATCTAGCTCAGAATTTGTACCTATCTGTGCTTATTTCACCATCTTTAAAATGGGGATACTATTTCTTAGCATGTGAGGTATTGTGAAACATCACTCATTAATCTTCTTTAAGCATTTTTAGAACCTTAGATGAGAGGTTGCATGTGCAACCTTAAGTTTGTCATTTCCTGACTTTTGAATGCTTCATTTTGTAATCTTAACATTGTAATTCCACAGTTAAAACAAACAACCATGGAGCTATTAATAGAGTACCTGAAGCATGCTATTTTCAGACTCATTTTGGATGTAGTGTCAGTGTACAAGGTTCTAAAGTGCAGGTCAGCCATTTGTCTGTTGGACAGCAAATAATATTAAATGTCTAAAGTTGTTTTTGGTTATTCTTGGTTCCTGGACAACATACTTTCCTAGTCTTAATACTTTAATTACACATAATGTAGAGGTATCATGAGGATTCAAATGTTCATATTTTTTACATTGCTTTTAACAAGTAAAGTGCATTGTAATTGCTAAGTTTTGTACTAATCCAGATCTTTCCAGCATGGGTTGGGGATGCTTCTGAGATAGCATACACAATCACCTATTGTGGCCATTTAAGGAACGGTGTTAATGTCCCCTGGGTTGGAAGGATGAGGCTCAAAACCAAAGTTCTTGAAGGCTGTGGTAAGGCAGGGGAAAATGAAAGTATCTTAAGTGTCCTTTATTAGAGCCCTGCAGATGTCCTAGAAAAATCAATACAAGAACTGGTTGTACTAGATCAGATATTCCCCCCAGACAACTCCCCCCCAAGACTGCTTTTGAAGCTAAATTAAGTTTTTGAGGAGGTAATTTCATAGTTTCCTTTCTAACAAAAAGCAGATGTGTAAAAAGAAAAAACATCATGAGAGGGCCAGAGAAAGAAATGAGTGAACAAAACACGGTGGAAGATTCAAAACAACTCAACGGGATGTAATTTAAGCCACTAAGGAATGCACACTGAGTATTCAATGTAAAATATTTGCACTGTCAGGGTCCATAATGAAGGCTTAGTTATCAAGAGAACCTTGTTCAGGTTGTGCTGCTGTGTTGTGACCGAGCTTTTATGCTGTATCTGGTGCTTTATGCTGAGTTTTTAAATGTTAATGTTTGTTTGAGAGAGAGATCTCTGGAATATTAGAACAAAAGAATTGAACATCTGTTTCAAAAGATCTGTGTAGGTTAGGAAGTACAACTGAGGGCAGAAAAAAATCTGCCACTGAACACATTTTATGTTCTGTGGGAGGGTTGATATTTAAATCTGGCAGTTTAACTGAGCTGTTATCACTATTCATACATCTGTTTGTTTGCATCTTTGGTGTTAATTATTGTGTGATGCTAAAGTTTGTGTGTAGTTACTCGCTGTTTATGGATTTGAGAATTTGGCGTAAACGTTGTGTTGTGTGCTTATGTGAAATGTTCACTGATGCTCATAGGAAATTGTCTTAGAATTCTTTAGCCCAGCTTTTCCTACTATTTTTATTAGATATGATTGACACAACTACAAGCTTAATATTTGAGTGGCTTTTTTATAGCATTAAACATTGCCTTTTGTTAGAGACATGCTTGGGTCTGAGTGGGAAAAAAAACAGTTCTGACAGACACAGAGGGATAAAATGGTTGGATCAAATCCAAGTTCCTTTTAAAAAAATATTCTGGTTTCTGTTTTTCAGAGCTTCTTTATTACTTTTGAATTTTCCTTAATGATGCTTTGTTATATTCCAGGCTGTTCTTTCTTTCTCTCACAAATAACTTGCATTAGTGCAATGCCAAGGTTCCACATTTACAGTTATAAATTAGGAATTGCAAAAATTAGCAGTTTCATGGCAACGCTGACTTTTCCACAAAGCATGTATGGGCAATCTGGGTGGCATCAGGTTTTGTCTTTCTCTGCATCCTAAGAAAAAATATGGTATCAAACAATCTCAAAGGGTATGTCTACACTGCAATAAAAGATTCGTGGCCCAGCCGTGGCTGGCCCAGGTCAGCTGAGTTGGACTGCAGGGCTGTACAATTACAGTCTAGGCGTTCGGGCTCAGGCTGTGGCCCAGCCTCAGAGACTCCGCAAGGGGGGAGGATCTCAGAGCCCGAGGCCCAGTTTGAGCCCAAATGTCTACACTGCAATTTTATAGCCCAAGCCCAGAGAGTCTGAGTCACCTGATCCGGGCTCTAAGACTTGGTGTTGTAGTGTAGACATACTCCTGGAAAGGTTTACAACAGAGAGTATCCTTGGTTCACAGGCATCACTCAAACCTCTGCCTTTTCTTCCTAGAAACTAAACATAAACAGGTTCCACAGCCATTGAGTGACTAAAACAAAAGTAGGACCCATGCTTCTCAGTATGTGAAAAATATGAGTGCTTCTCCAGATAAGCTGGATATCTGTGGTCTTCCAGATACTGGTGTATATTCGGGTATTTTTCTTAGGCCTTGTCTACACTTACGGGGGGTTCGAAGTGCGGTGATTGATGCATTGGTGGTTGATTTAGCGGGTCTAGTGAAGTATAGCCTAAAATTCACTAGAATTAACATAAATCCCTCCAGACCTCTGCTTATTTGAAAAAAAAAAAATTCTTGGAAAAAATTGTTCCTATAAGTCCCTCCCATTGCTCCCCATCTCCAAAACTGACCCTCCTTTTTGCCACATACAGACTCATCTCCTGGGAGTAGGGTTGCCAACTTTCTAATAGCTGAAAACCGGACACCCCTGCCCCATCCCCTGCCCTGCCTCTTCTCCTAAGGCCCTGCCTCGGCCCCTCCTCTTTCCCCCGAGACCCTGCCCCTGCTCACTTCTCTCCCACTCTCCCTCTATTCTCGCTTCCCCCTCCCCCGGGACTCATCTGCCATCTACAGAGCCAGGCTGGGAGGAGCGGATGCGGAGCCTGCCCAATCGGGGCACAGCGGTCAGGTTTTGGCTCAGAAAAGGAGTGAGGGGCTGGGACGGGGGCAATAGGGGCACAGTGGGGCAGGAGGGGGTGTTGGTCCCCAGAGCAAGGGGATGAGGCAGGTGCAATCAGGGCACAGGCTGGTGGGATTAATAGGATCCCGCTGGGCAGCGGTGCCGGTATCTACCTCTCCACCGAAGGCTTGAGCTGTGGATTTGGGAGCCAGTTCTCTCCATCAGCAGCTGGGAAGCTCCTCCAGGCAGCAGCTGCTGCTCGTCCTGCCCTCTCAGCAGGGAGGCTGATTGCGGTTACTCCAATAACTGGACTTTTAATGTCTGGTCAGCAGTACTGACTGGACATTGCCAGGTCCAGAAGCGGCGGAAGTTCCCTAAAATTGGAGGGGCCACTGGTGTCCGAACTGTGGCCTGGCCCCCCGTGCTGCCCCTTCCTGTGAGGCCGCACCCGCATGTCACCCCTTCCTCCAAGGCCGCACCTCCCCGCCCCCGCTCGCTCCTCTCCACTCCTTCCCCACTTTTGCTCACCCTTATGGCTGGTAAAAAGTGGGAGGGCTATGCTTTTAAGTGATGGGACCATGACCCCTTGGCCCCCCGTTCCAGCACCCCTGCCAGTTCCCCTTTTCGACTGGATTCCTGGCAACCCTACCTGGGAGCTTAGTGGCTCCCTCCCCTACCTGGATACACCTCTCAGCTGCAGATAGCTGCTCACATTTCTGCCAACCATTTCATGCCCAGACAGTAGCATGTGTGTGTGGAAGGGGAGGGAGAAGCACACTTCCTCTTTCCAAGGATGGTGTGCTGGTATGTGCTTCCTGGGAATCTCTAGGGGCAATTCTAAGTCAGCCTGTTGACTTCAGCTGCTGCACGGACCTTTTGCATCCTTTCTAATGTGCTTGACTACATCGGGTGCAGTCATCGGGTGCAAACTATGGCATGCATATGGTATCACAGGGATAGACTGGTGGTGCCACGAGCCCTTCCAAATATATCCAGTGAATGGTAATTGCTCAAACGTTATGGAGAGTAAACATGTTATATGTTGTCCAGCAAAGAGGCAGCATCTGGCATTGCAATGCTTAGTGCACAGGTTGCATAATTTGAAATGATGGAGTTGAAGAACTACTTCAACACAGTTGACTAATATTTTCAGTTCTGGTACCTGAAAAGCCGCCGTCTCTATTGCCTCTGTTGGGCACTGGTACCTTAGGTATAAGGCAATTCAAAACAAAAGACGATGAATTTTTTGTGGAATAAGCTACATTCAATATTTATTTTTCATACCTTTTCTGAACATAATGACACACACAAGATAGACATTAACACCACAAATTGAGGTACTACACTTATTTTTAAGTTACTGTCAAGTATTGTGCAGCATTTTGCAGTAATTTCATTACTAAGAACCTGGAACAGCAAATTATTGTGTATCTTGTTACAGTGAAGTACAGAAATATTTCTAAATATAGAGCAGAGAGGAGATGCTTTTCTTGTAGGTAGGTCTTCAGATTGGAATATGACTTCAGTTAGGAAAATCCAGAAGGTCTTCAATTGCTTTGATGCTGGTACTCAGAAGAAAAAAAATACCTTCAGTGCTGCTCTTGTACCAAGTACTTTGCTTCTGAAGTGCTAGCATTCCAGTGGAACATTGCCACTTCAACCCCTGAATGTCTGGAATCTGGCTACCGGAGGCCCCACGGCTTACCTTATTATGTTACCAGTCCTGTTAGTTAAGATTTACTGGGCATCTTTTGCCATCATTTCCTTCGTAAATGCCAGTGCTTCTGGAATTCCCTCGTTTTGGTGGTTTGCTCAAACCTGTGGTTTTGACGCCTCTATTGCGTGATGTATTGTTTATTTTGTTTTGCTTCACATGTCTGTTGTATGGTGGTGTGTAGTATGGTTCTTAGTCAGCAGTATAGAAGACAGGGCAGTGATGCCGATGCTACCGGATGTGCGACCTATTTCTTTTATTGTTTTAATTGTAAAAGTGTGTAGATGATATAGCAATAGGAGCCAGCACATCAAATAGATGAATGCTGCTTTTGCACAAAAGTTGGAGAGAGGACTTGCTGTAGAGAAGTTAGTCTGTGGTTTGGAGTGCTTGTCTGTTTTCTCAGCTGGTATCTTCTGACCAGCTGGTAGTAGTTATGGGCTGCCACATATCATTGTGAATTCTCTGCTTTTAAGTAATGAGTGCTATTTAATTTCTGTACATTTCTAGAAAACATGAAATACATTTGTTGTGTGGTAGATATATTAACTGTCTATTTTTATTTCAGGCTGAGGAATCTTGCAAATGTAATGGCTGGAAAAATCCTAACCCACCTCCTACTCCTCCCAGGGCAGATTTGCAGCAGACAATTGTCAGTCTTACTGAACCATGTCGCAGCTGTAGTCATGCACTGGGTAAGTATTTAGCTTCTCCTGGATTTGCAATCCATGTTCTTAGACCCTAGGTCATAATATGACATTTTCTGTTATTCCCAGACTAAAACTATGTTAAGATGGAGTTATGGTTGGGTGTATGGGTCCGGAATTTAGAGTAAAATACGGTAGAGATGTTGAAGTAATCTTAAAAACAAGTGCTACAATCCAGGAAATCCAGAATAAAGGTTAAACTTAAAAGAAATCCAGATATTTTAAGGTATGGAAATGCACAATTAGTTCACCAAACAACTTTAACTCTGCCATATAGTTATTTATTTAGTGTTTGCATAGTTGTCTAGCCAAGCGATGACATCTTTAGTGGCGTGATGCAGTTCTTGTAGGCCACCGCTGAACCTAGTCAGCAGGCATTCATCGACAATGTACGTCATCGTCTGTGTTGTGCCGCAGCTGCACAAAGGGCTGTCACGAAGGCCCCGGGAATACTGGTTGGCTGCACAGAGACCTTGCCTGATCCGGAACCTGTTCAACAGGGACCATTGGCGACGGGGCAGGTCAAAACCAGGCAGGCAGATTGTGGGGTTGGCGACAAGGGACTCGTTGGGGATTATAATAGATACCATTCCTCTTGCCAGAGTGTTTCCACCCTAACATCCTGGCATGGCGGATAAGACCATAATGGGCGATGTGACGGTAAAAGTACAGCTGGTGGTTTAAAAAGGTCATTGTGCAGCGGCAGGCTTGAGTTGGCGCATACTTTCTCCAGTAACTTGCCAGTGGCAACCTCTTGTCTGATATGAGGAGGAGCAATATTGCTCAGAACTGGAAGCCATGGAGTGGAGTCGGACGCAGGGTGCCGAAGATGATACGCATGGTGGCATGTAACTGCATATCCACCAGTTTGGTGTGTGACAATAGACTCCAAACTGATGTGCAGGACTCCGCCACCAAATATGAGGTGGCAAGAGCTGACGTCCGCAAAGTTGGAGCACGAGCACCCCATGACGAACCTGCCAGTTTGCTAAGAAGAATGTTGTGCATCTTAACTTTAGCTGCTGTCTTCTTCTGGTGGGCATGGTAACTCAGTGTGCGGTCTAAGGTCACACCTAGATAAACCGGTTCTACTTCATGCTTCACCTTCTGACCATTCAGATAAACATTCAGTTCTCGGGTTGCGCTGGCGTGATGAAGATGGAACAAACTGGAGACTGTTTTTATGACCCTTGGCTGGAGGCGCCAAGTCTTACAGTAGTCAGCTAACTTTATCGTGTCCCGGTTTAAGGTGGCATCAAGCTCGTGAAACGTCCGGGCCTTGGTACCACAACAGATGTCGTCTGCGTAAATGAACTTTCGTGACTCCGTTGTTGGCAGGTCATTGATGTAAAGGTTGAACAGGGTTGGTGAAAGGACAGAGCCCTGGAGTAACCCATTGCTCTGTCGTCTCCAAGCGCTCGTCTCCTCCCCCATATGGATTCTGAACTGCCTATCGCGGAGGAACAGTTCAACGACGCCTGTGACCCAAAGTAGCAGGACCCATGATACCTTCACGAGCAGGCCAGTGTGCCACACCGTATCGTACGCCGCTGTTAGAGCGATGAAAACAGTGCCTGTTTTCAAGTTTCTCTGGAAGCCATTTTCAACAAATGTGGTCAGTGCGAGCACTTGGTCGCATGTGCTACAGCCTTGGTGAAAGCCGGCTTGGTTAGGGCTCAAAATTCTCTCTATGTTGGGTAATATGCACTGTAGGACCAAGCACTCCAGTGCCTTGAAGCACACCGACAGTAATGATATGCGACAATAGCTTGATGCTTGACTTGGGTCCTTTCCAGGCTTTAGGAGGCTAATGACTTTTGTGGTGCGCCATATCTTCGGTAGTCTACCTTCACTGATGACTTATAGTGAGACTATGCAATAATCATATGATTAAGATTAAGGCATTTTAGTGTTTGTAGTCCTAGATTAGATTTTTAAGGACAGATTTAGACCCTGCCTCCTCCATCCCCCATTGTCAATATTGTGGCTGATATCTGTGTTGTGGTTCTTCTGAAACTACAGCCTCATTTGGGGTCTGTCAATGCTACAGTTTCACCTCTGTCAAGTGACCTAGTTACAGCATGGTCGTCTCACAACATGGTTATTTTTGTAGTATAGATTAGACTCTGGACAGTGCTAAAGGTAAGAGTCCATGTACACTACAAAATGGAACTATGCTTGTACCATGTTGTGCGAAACTGTGTTGGAACCAGTCTTCCTGTATGGTTAAAGTTATTATATAAACAACCTCTGTGCTACAGAAAGGACTGTTTAACTCCATTGTGAAACATGGTTGTATCACAGCCAGGTTACAACATAATGATTCCTTACCAGTGTGGCCAGAAAAAACCCACCATGTGTCAGGGACAGTTTTAAACTTTGCGGCTACCTAAGCTAAAACATGATTACTTAACATGGTTATAGCGTAGTTTTTCTGACCATGAAGTCAAGAAGAAACTGTGCTAATAACAGTTGGGCCACAACAAATTTCAGAACTGTTTAAAATGAAACTTGCTTTGGTTGTATAGATATGGCCTGAAATTACAACTCAGTAAAATCAGCAATTTTGTTAAATTATGTAAAATCATCACAATAGGTGATTTTTAAAAAAGTAAACAGTGTACCTTTTGAGGGATTATTCACTACAGTATTTCTGTAGAAGATTTGTTTACCTCTCTGCTCTCCTTTTTGTGTGTTCTGTTGTTGTTTAACCTATTTCTGGGCTTTTCTTTATTCATTGCTATCATTTATGTTCAAAATCTCTTCTTTCATGCAAGAGAGGAATAACAAATGTATAGCAGCACATGAGTTCAGTATGTTTAGTGAGGCAATTCATTTAACTTCTCAACGTGTAGCATATTTTCACTGCCTCTGGGATATGCAGTTAGATTAATTTATGTTATGAAACCCTTTCACACCGTGCCCTTGGGATACTGAAGGCATTTCTTCACTGCTGCCTAATCCTGTTAGGTGCTGAGCCCTTAACGCCGCATCTTCGGTAGGATTTGAAGGTGCTCACCTCCTTTCAGAAGAGCTCAGCGCTTCTGAGGATCTGACTCTTTGTGAAAATCTTCGGTCACTTATTAATTTGGGAATCAGGAATAGCAGTACATTGTTATTTTGAATAAACATTATGGACCAAATCTGGTGCAGTGTTTCTATTTCATTACTGCCACAGTGAAGAAAGATGAAGCCCTGTCATCTTCCCAGCTGCAACTAACGAGGATGATGCTTTGTTCGGAATAACGAGTGCCACCTACCACTCGGTTGTACCTAATGTGGAAAAGTGAACATTGTTCAGAAATATTTCTCAAGACATTTTTCCTATTGTTCTCACCCTGATCAGCATGTTTCCCTCTTGAATTCTTTTAAAACCTGAAAGGTCGTGAGGTATCCCTATTTCAGCTGCTTCCCCAGCACTATATTCTCTCTTTCTAAGTGAGTTCTGAAACATAACCACAGACACTCCCTAGGTTACACAAACCCGATTTACGGAAATCCGGATTTACGGAAAAAGTTCCATAAGGTTTTTGTTTTTGTTTTTGCGTAATTGTTGGAGATACGTTCCCGACTTACGCAAAATTTGACTTATGCAAGGCGTTCCGGAACAGAATGCTTGCGTAAGTCGGGGAGCTTCTGTATGCAGAAATTTCTCTACTGTTCTAGGAAATGTGGTGTTGGCTTTTTGTGCTTATATTTTTTCAGCAATGTTGCCCAGGCATCAATGCACAGTAGGCTCTTCCCCACTCAGGACTTGTCTATATTCAGTTTCACTGGCTTAATTAAAGGTTTAGTTAATCAGATGCAAAAGACTGTGGATGCTTATATCATCTTAAATTAGTCTTATTTCTGTCTATTTTATGGGTTTGTCTACATGCACTTTCACAGAAATAACTAAAGTGACATAAATTCACACTTTTTGTTATTTTGGTGAAAGTCCATGTGTGGATCTTCTTATTTTAGATTGTTCCTTAAATGGATTTAGCATAATCTGAACTAAGAGTGTTGTGTTGTGATAATTGGGCCTACAAATTTACCCTAATTAAACACTCCGTTGTAAAAAGTATATGAAAGTTCTTAAGATGTTACGATAACCTATAATAACAAATGCTGATGGAAAGTAAGTGAAGTCACTTTCAATAGTGAACATAGGCGCCAACTCCGTGGGTGCTCCGGGGCTGAAGCACCCACAGGGAAAAATTAGTGGGTGCTCCTCACCCACTGGCAGCCAAGCTCCCCCCTCCTTGCTGCCTCCTCCCCCCCCCCAGCACGCCCCGTCCCCGCATCTCCCAGCGCTTCCCGCACTCCCCCCCCCCGCTGCTTAACAGCTGTTTGGCGGCGCTTAGGACTTTCCGAGAGGGCAGGGGAGGAGCGGGGATGTGGCGGGCTCAGGGGAGGAGGCGGAGAAGAGGCAGGGCAGGGTCGGGGACTTGGGGAAGGAGGTGGAATGGGGGCGGGAAGGGGGCGGGGCTGAGGTGGGAAAAGGCGGGGTGGGCAGGGACTTTGGGGAAAGGGTGGAATGGGAGTGGGGTGAGGGCAGTGCAGGGGTGGGAAGAGGCGGGCCAGCGGCGGTGCCAGGGGTGGGTGGGGGGTTTGAGCACCCACCAGGCGGAGGGGAAGTCGGCGCCTATGATAGTGAATGTTATAAACAGGTGCAATAGAACCAAACAGACTAAATTAGTCTAAACAAAAGGGCCTACTGATATGGTTCAAGAACTGTATTAAAATCATGCTTGGTAAAAACAGAAGATGTAAAACCAGAGAAGATTGGTGTGCTGGATATTGGGCCTAATTGGTGGATAAAATAAAGAGGGGGTGGGCTATTTCACCCCTCTCTCTCTTTGTGGATCCTTAAAGAAAGAGACTTTGGGGGGGGGGAAATGAGAAAAACAGACGTTGGCTACTGGAGTGAGCTTCACTATCATGGCTGCCGCAGGGCCGCCCGGGGGAGGGGCAAGTGGGGCAATTTGCCTCAGGCCCCACAGGGGCCCCCACGAGAATGTCGGAGGCTCCCCCCCGCCTCCACCTTCCCCCATCCCCCAGCGCCTCAGCGTGCCGTGTCCAGGAGCGGCCCTGGACAGCGCTGCAGCGATGTGGCTTGGGCGGGGCCTGAGGTCCTCCCACTCGGAGCTGCGTGGTAAGGGGGCGGGGCTGTAAGCCCCGGCGGGCCGAGCGGCAGGAGCTCCTGGATGCAGCTTGCTGAGGCTCTGGGAGAGGGGGTAAGCGGCATGGTAAGCCCCTCTGAGCCGGGCACCCCCCGACCCATCCCCCCCCAGCTCCGAGCCCAGCCCCTTTGAACCGGGCACCCCCCGACCCCATTCCCCCTCCCCATCCCGACCCCCAGCTCCAAGCCCAGCCCCTCTGAGCTGGGCACCCCCCGACCCCATCCCCCCAGCTCCGAGCCCAGCCCCTCTGAGCCGGACACCCCCCGATCCCTTCCCCCCGCCCCCCCAGCCCTGACCCCCAGCTCCGAGCCCAGCCCCTGTGAACCGGACACTCCCCTGACCCCATCCCCCCCCC